GAGAGAGAGAGAGAGAGAAAAATGGGTGGGAGAGAAACAGAGGCGGTATAGTGCATACAAACGAACTACCGGTATTTCTTTGTTTTTTTTGTTTTTTGTTTTGGGAACTACTACCGGTATTTCAGCAAGCCCATGCATACGCAAACGATTATAGCGGGCCACTGCCACTCGCGCGCGCGGGCGCGAGAGAGAGAGAGTGAGAGAGGAGTGGGAGGAGTGCATTGTGTTTCCGACCTTGCGATTACCCACAGGTCAGCAAGACCACGTATACGCGGAGCATTACAGTGGGCAACTTCGGCGCATGGTCGCGAGCGAGAGAGAGAGAGAGAGAGAGAGAGAGAGAGAGATATTATTGATTTCACATTCTAATATTCATTTATATTAATTTAGCTTTTATTTGCTGCTATAGAAGTGTCGAGGATTGAGGGCTCATCTTCCGTGATACCCTTATGTTAGCGATTGTAGTTAGGATGGCCTCCCCCTCGAGGAGGCAGACGCGGAACGTATTCGTACCCTGCTTGCTGCCTGTTTTGAAGTTGGCGTGCTCCCAGTAGGCCTGAACCGTGGGACATGTGTAACCTACGGGCCGGACGGCCCGTAATACCCCGTACGTACTACCCCGTATCACACTGAATCCGTTGCTCGATGAAGCGTCATGATGGTCAAATGATGGTTAAAGGAACGTCGTAGGGTGGTCACCGTAGTTCTGTTGTCTTCCAGGGTAATGACGGAAAGTCCCTACCCAACAAAAATAAGGCGACAGGTCCAAATCGGCGGATACTGTACGAGGATGGGTGTTGATTACCCGTCGATTGATATTGATTGGAGATATAGTACGAGGATGGGTGGTGTTCGAATCCGGCCGTGAATCCTTCCCTTAGGCTAGAAAGAGGGAGGATAAAGAAGGAGGGCGGTAGTGTCGTTTCTTACATTGCTACTTCCAAGGAGATTGCTGAATTTTTTAATGACCAATAAAGGATCGCACAAAATCAAATTCGATGACACCAACACGCTGTACTCCGTAACCTTCCGCTAATGGGCTACCAAAAATGAACCCCAAGATCTCAAAGCACAAGAGGCGGCGGATTGGACCTTCTTTCTAAGCATTGTTTCTTTTTTCTTTTTTTTTCTTTTTTTTTGGAACATTGTTACTTTTTTATTCAGTCTTTTAGGTGCTTTTTTCGTTCGACGTGCGGGATTACGTGCATCTGTTCAAGGGATTACTTGCACCTGTTCAAGGGATTACCTTTTCTGGGACGCTGTTTCCCGCCTAGAGGAGAGAGGTAGATGGGTCTGTCAAACAGTAGTATTTTCTAGCATTGTTTGCAGGTATCTATTGGGTTACAGATGTCTGACTAGGTTCTGGAAAGCCCCTAGGGCTGTTCCGTAAGCCTGTAAGCTAAGCTTGCTGATGCTGCCAGAAGTTCCGGGTTGAATTGTGAGGTCCCTGGCCTCGTTGCAGTCACATTCATAAAGAAATGCTTTGTTTAAAAAAAAAAAAAAAAGATGGTTAACGGGCGGGGGGGCGAATATTCGCAGTTTTTGCGGGGCAATTTCGGTGTGAAATTCATCGAAAATTTCAAAAAACAAACGATATGGGCCCATAGTGCAAACATCAAAAAACAAAACAGGCCAACGAAAACTTAAAAAAAAAAAAAAAAAAAAAAAAAAAAAACCCTAGCCAAAACTAGACACATGACGTACCCTAAAGCACATGTA